TCCCCTCCCCCTTTATTTGTTGTTGCCACCTTCCCTTTTTCCCCCATCTCCCTCTTACTCAAACTGTAGTAAAACTAAAAATGACCAAATTATCAGTTGCCCTCTAAAAACATGACATCCTAGAGATTACCCATCAACCTTTTATCCACCAATACAATCTAACAAATCTTCATTCGTGTACATAACCTTGTATTTTTTTTTATCCTCTTTTTCATAAAATAATGTTACTTATTACCAAATTTCTTTCTACCATAGCTCAATTAAAGGCTCCCCTTTTTCATTTACCCCGACACCCCAAAATTTTCCTACTACTTTTTCCCCCCTAAAATTTTTACCCACTTTAGCACGAAAAACCCCAACCCCTTACTCTCACCTTGATTAAAAATCCCCACGCATTTACTCACATTTCCCGAATCTCTCTCTCTCCTTTTCACTTTCCCCTTTCTCCAGGTGCATACACGCTTATATAACCCCCTTTTCACATCCATCTTTTTTTACTCCCCATAATCCTTGAAATTTTTTACATTTGTGTCCCTCTTTTCCTGCCATACTTATCCTTCAAATTATTGCTCTCCTTCTTTAGCCCCAAATCTATTTGAAACCCTACCCAATCCCATTTTTCCTCCCATTTAAAAAATTCCCACCCCCTTCAGCTTTGTTTCACTTTAAAACCGGACACCAGTTTCTTTCTTCATAACCCCACAATCGCTCTTTTTTTTCATTTGCACAACATCCACGCCCCATTCAGACTTCCCCCTTTGACAAATTTTTTTCTTATTCTTTTTTTAATCTTTACAGGAAAAGGGGTTACAGTCCATTGTTCCGGCATTTTGTTGACTTTTTCAACCCATGGCTTACGGAGGAAAGATTCTTATTCCACTTCCCCCTGGATTGAAAGGGAAAAATAATAAGACCAAAAACTATTAAGATAAAATCAAAGAAAACTAGTGGTGTGTGTAAATAAACGTGTACATGTAGTGTATGTGACCTAATGTAAGTAGAAATAGCAAAACTGCCGTAATCTTGCATATTTTTTGAACGACAAAAGACACCCGCAAACCCACCATCATGTAAAACAATTACAGGGTTTTGTTTTACATCACTTGGGAGGAGGTAGACTCCCTGGGTGGTTCTGTTACCAAAACCCAACCTACATTAACCCCGTAATAAGTTCAATGATGATTTAGACAAGTGTGAAATATGCTACATTCTTTTCATGAGGGTAATCACATCGCTCCAGACCCCGGGTGATTTCCTCAAACTCCTGATCTTAACAATTCTTCTCTGTGTTGGACTGAGGGAAACCACTGGTTGACGAATGTTACCAAAAGTCAATCCAATCTTGTTCAAGAATCAGTTTTCTGCAGACGTAGAGTACCTGTCTTCTTGATACCAGAGAAATCTCAAAGCAGAATGGGGTTAATGGTGCTCCAACACCTATTAGTCAGTGTCAGGATAATTCTTGATTAGATACAATGTTATTGTTTGATACTGGAATTGCCCGGTGGTTCCAGTTGTGTTATATGTAGTTAGGGTTCCGTATCGTATTAAGGTAATTCCTTTCATTTTAGGGTGTTATCTTTCCAGGTGTGTTTAAGGTTTTTCGTTCCTAACATGCCCTTTGGGTTATGCATGATTATTGATAATTTTTGTTTAGCGTTTTGTCAGCTGGGCTAATTTTTTCGTTTTCCGAGCTGTGTATACCCTAATAGATTATTTTGTAATCCGTTTTTCTAGCTTTCTACCTTTGAAATTTTCTTAGACCAAATTTAAAATTTTATTATGACACGTCCCCTTTTGGGATGCCCCATTTTTAAATTTAATTTGTGGTCACTAAATTTTGACAAAGGGCGGTGTATCTTGTAATAATTTCAGGTAGTAGGACAGACATTTACTATCCTCCTGAATTTACTGCCTAATTAATTCTTTTTTTATTGTCAGGCGGTACGTCTAATGGGTTTTCCATATTTAATATTATATACTTTTTTCCCCCAAGGTCACTTTTCCACGGGCAACTAAGCTGGTGGGACAGTTATTCAATATTACTGTCTTATGCGCCATTGCCCTGTGTTATTCTGTGATAATGATTTATTTCTCAATATAACGTAAGTAGTTAGGAAGCGAATTATTTGTATTTATACACTAGCTGGCTTAGTGTGAATTTAATGTGCTTTCGTTTCTATTACACTCCTCAACTGTGTAACAGGTCACCATCCATAGATACTACGGTGTCAGACACTTTCCATCCACTTACACTTACACATGTCTCCCTGAGGAAACAAATGGAGATAGATCTATGTAGGTGAAAGATATCCTGCCCCGTTAAGCTAAGTGGTTTTATTATGTGGATAATATCTTGTGTTTTTGCCCGATTTACTTGACCTTAGCACATTTTTACCGAGACTTAACTCTCTTGTCGCCTCTATTAAATTCAAAGTAGAATAAGAAGCGGATTTTAAGCTTCCATTTTTAGACGTTCTGATCTACAGGATTGATAGAATGTTTGAGTTTACAGTGTATAGGAAGGTAGGAGTGTGTGTTCATGTATCCACTACTACTCCTACCATGAAACTAGAGTAAAAAGATGTGTCTTTCTTACTATGTTTCTGAGAGCTTACAGAGTGTGTAGCCCTGAGTTTCTTGATGAGGGAATTAGGAAAATCTTTGATATTGCTACAAAACTACGTTACCATAAGGAGTTTGTAGAAACTGGTTTGCTGGCAACTAGAAAAAAATTATCATAGGAAGGAACCAAGAATAACTCCTCAGGCCAAGAATGTGCTTGTCCTGTCATACAATGGAAATTAATCAGTTCTACCGAATGCCCTAAATATATTCAATATACAAGTTTTTTAAGAATTCGCGGACTCTTAAGAGTATGTTGATCAAGAATTCCCCACAACACTGTGTTGGTAGTGTGTAGAGGATTGAGTGCTAAGACTGCAACTTATCTTATATGGGACAGACTGGCAAACCTCCAAATATTAGAATAACACAACATCGGTATTCAATAAGGGCAGCTCAAGAATCAAAAGCAATATTCAAGTACACATGAGTTTGCAACAATCCTGCTAAACGGCCAGAAGCCAAATTAATAGTGCCACATTCGTGGCTAGAAAGAAATATTTTAGAATCGGCAATTATTAAACATGACAAACATTCATTATATAATGTTAGTTGCAGATTATTCAAGCTTGATTCGTTTATAATTTAGGCTATTGTGCATAACCTAAAACCAAATTCATATATGAATACTCTGAATTGTCTTAAGTGTCATGGTTCCACTTTGAGGAATTAGGGCCTGTTCCTGCCAGATTGGGTTCGACCAGCATTTGAGCAAAGAGTCTGATGGATTAGATAAGCTATGGCTGTCTGCACTTGGACTGACTATAGATGTCCCCATTAATTTTAAGTGAGTCTGCCATAAACTCGTTTTCTTTTTCTGAATTTTGTTAAAAGTTCCCAAGACAAATGCCAGACACATCTGTATTCAGAATGTAAAGTCATTTATATTGTCCCAAAGTCTGACTGAATTTCTGATAATTGTCATGTCACCAATGTTAAGTTTGCTAAGTAATACTCGATTACCTTTGTTGAATATCCACTATTCCCATAATATTCAATCTTTTTGGCACTTGGCACTGGTGTGCCTGGGGCACTGATCATCTCCTGCGTCCCTACCTCATTCTTAGCAAGAACGCTCCTCAGAGCGAATCTGCTGGGAACTCTTACTCATTTCTGCAACAATGCAATCTCCTGATGATGTGTTGATTACAGTATGAAAAGCCAGGCCCGCTGGCCTGGTGGCTAAAGCTCCCGCTTCACACACGGGAGGGCCCGTGTTCGATTCCCGGCAAGTGGAAATATTTCGACGCATTTGCTTACACCTGTTGTCCTGTTCACCTAGCAGCAAATAGGTACCTGGGTGTTAGTCGACTGGTGTGGGTCGCATCCAGGAGGACATGATTCAGGACCACAATAGAAATAAGTCAGACAGTCCTCGATGACGCACTGACTTTCTTGGGTTGTCCTGGATGGCTAACCCTCCGGGGTTAAAAATCCGAACGAAATCTTATCTTATTCAACTTGCCTTGTAGTTGTTTTGCATCTAGTATCGCTTGTTCGCTATCCTTATACCTCAACTGTCCCTCGTTACCTCTCTCCACCCATTTACAGGATAGACTTTGAGGGAAAATTGCCAGATGCCTTTATTGCAGCATCGCCAGTCTTTAATACTGATCGCTGAATCAGTTAAGTTTTAGTTCGACGTCAACCTCTGACTCTTGCGATCATGTCAGGCCTTTCCTCTAGAGTACTTACAGTTAGTTTGTTAAAAATTTGTTAAGTTGTAATCTAACAGGCGAAATTTCTAGGCTACGAGGTGGTCGTGACCCCTGTACGGTTTTAAGGTAGACCTGAAGAGATGAGTGTCCCTTGTTTCTGAGACAATGAATCATAAATACGCTTAACGAGTTCCCTTTTCAGAAACTCATAAACTGAAGTTAAAACTAAGGCGGCGTTTCGGTTCATCCTGGATCATTATCAACTCGAGTAATGGAACGTAAACAGTCGTCAATTTTCATCTGTAACTTGTGAAATAGAAGTGAATTATTCAAACTACATTACTGGGAGGACAGATCACGAAATAGCTTCTAGGATCCGGTGGTGAGTCCAGTTATTATATTATTTAGAATAATGTGAAACTGGTAAAGCATCACAGAAACCTTCGAGGAAATGAGGGAATTCCTATCTGGAATTCCATGGGTTATTGAATTCCGTGTGCGGACATCGTAAAAAAAATTATATTATTTACTGAGGAAACGATTCATTTCACCCCAAAATGACAAGGAGGAACAGAGCATGTAAAGAGCAAAGCCGATATAAGAAAAAATGCACAGAACAGCTGAAGCAGGGAGGGAGGTGAAAGATCATGAAGAACCTGAAGAAACACAAGCAAGCCTTGGGACAAATTAAATAGAACAGGAGAAGGGACGACTTACCTACAGGGAAGAACAGCTGTGGAGCCCACTACAGCAGTCTGGGGCGTGGGCTGGGTAGCAAAGTGCTGTGCCCCTTCTCTACCAAGAGTTTGCACGGCTGAGCCTCCCATGCCTGGGCCAAGTTGAACCTCTTTCTTCGTACCTACAGCAGTCACGTTTCTTCCCGCCCCAACCTCCTGCTGGATAATGCCCGCAGCCCACATTGCATTCACAGTCAAGTGCGCCCAGGAAGACCACAGCACCCATGCCCAAGTCCAGGAGATCCACCACGTGAACATAGCCTGTTGGATGAAAGAAAAACTTCAATAGAAATAAAGAATATATATATATATATATATATATATATATATATATATATATATATATATATATATATATATATATATATATTTATATATATACATATATATATATATATATATATATATATATATATATATATATATATATATATATATATATATATATATATATATATATATATATAATATCATTTACCAGACTGCGGCAGGCCAGGACTCGACCCTACGAACCTTGTACCGCCTCCAGATACAGCACAATGTACACATCGTCTTAGTACTACGCTACCGATCCTACAAGAAACAAGCACACAGCACGTAGCTATATGTGTGTGTGTGTGTGTGTGTGTGTGTGCGTGTGTGTGTGTTTGTGTGTATGTGTGTGTGTGTGTATGTGTGTGTGTATGTGTGTGTGTGTGTGTGTGTGTGTGTGTGTGTGTGTGTGTGTGTGTGTATGTGTGTGTGTGCATGTGTGTGTGTGTGTGTGTGTGTGTGTGTGTGTGTGTGTGTGTGTGTGTGTGTGTGTGTGTGTGTGTGTGTGTGTACATATATGCAAAACAACCAACAACCACTATGAAAAAATATTGAATTTCGTGATTTCTCACACTATCAGTGACCTGTAAAAATAATAGAACAGTAGAAGGCTTATAAGGCTGAGCAAGATATTACCTCACATACGCCAGTTCCAGTATAATGCGGGTGGAAGTGTCAGAACTGTCACGCATAGCTGAAATTCATCCCAAATTTTATTAATTATAAATGAATCTAATCTGTATAACCCTAAGTTAACATTCATACCAAAACCAAGATTTTTAAATACAACTTTGATTTTAAAACTCTTTAAGTAGAGAATGTATATGAAGAAGGTTTTTAGGGTAAGAGAGAACCAATATATTCTTGGTTGAATGTGTTTTTGTTTTAATTTTATAATGTATTTGTAGTAATTTTAAATGTTAATGATCTAAAATACCATAAAAACTTAATTGATAAATCCTTTAAAACTGTTAGAAATATATTTTACAATTAAAAAAAGGATAAACATTCATCAGATTCAACCAAGAATATGTCAGTTCTCCCTTATTTTCAAAACCTTCCTGACATATCGTTCTTAATTAAAAAAAAATCAAATAAAAGTTGTATTTAGAAATCTTATGGATGGAAAAGAGTATAGTGGAGAGTATGCAATAGATCGATGTAGAAGTTGTACACATATGAGCGAGGTTCACTAATGCCAGTTGGTCAGGTGCATAATGTAGCCCATGATTAGCAGTAGAGTTAAACAGAAGTAAATTTTGTGATTATCTCATAAGATGTCTTAGTCTTCATCTTAATGTAATTTGGGTCCTTTTCTTCTCAGAAGAGTTTGCTACTGTCTTCGGGCATCCATATAGCTGTGGTGTTAGTCTGTGACTCTCGTCAGTGCTACAACAGGTGTTGTTCTGAAAGGATGGTCCTGCAAGCGTGCACTGTGAGTGAATGTGGCTTCGTCAAATTCTTCCTTTCAGTTCATGATTACTGCTGAAATTCGTGATGGATATTACATCTAGAAAGCGTGCAGGTATTGTAGCTTTCAGAAAACATGTTGATTTGTGTATCAGATAAATCACCGAAAATTTGACCCTTCCAGAGTCGACTATTGGTCGGATTCTGAAGAGATCTAGCGACACTGGTGATTGTGGAGTGCTTCGTAGAGGAAGAGATGGAAGAAAACGCAAGACAGCACCTCACGATATCAAGTTTATCATAAGAAATAGTGAAAAGAAAACCAGCAAAGATCTAGAGAGAGATTTGGCTTCAGCTAGCATAACTGTTGATTCTTCAACTGTTCGACCAAGACGGCTCCTCGAGGTTGGCAGAACTGCCAGAAAGCTGGTAAAGAAACATTTACTGACTGCTTCTATGAAGAAGAAAACGTCTGCAGTGGGCATTCGATCAGATGTGGTGCATTTTGAAGTATATACATACAGACCAGTGGTAGTGAGAAGGGAGCAAAAAAGAACCTTTACAGAATGGACACATTCAACAAGCGCCAAAACACCTATATACGATGTTCTGGGGTAGCTTTGCTGCTAAAGGCACTGGACGGCTTGTTATTGTTGAGGGGACGATGGACAGTGACAAATACAAGACAGTTATGACTACTCATTTGTTTCCCGTTGTTAATAGAGACTTTCAAGCTGGAGAAGGCATTTTCCTGCAGGAAACATGACTGTTCACTTTTGGAGAAGCTAATTGTTGCGGTTATTAGGACCAGCTACCACGACGAAGAACTTACCAAAAAGTGTTCAACATTGGTCGAATCTTTGCCAAAGCCTGTAACAATGATTATAAAACTAAAGGGTAGTTATACCTCTTTTTAAATGAATTAACTGTCATACAATTGACTTGAATTTTTCAAATAAACATTATTTTTTCACATAAATATCTGATTTCATCACTGTCTCAATTAATATGTTCATTACTGTGTCATCTGCTCAGTGGTGTTACTGTATCAGACGAACATCAGTAGACCAAAGATAAATAGTACCCAGAAGCTGAAAAGCAAGGCAGATGTTCACACCTGCAAATATTTACTGGGAAAGATTTCTTTCCTTAGCACGACTATGGAATCTTTGAGCTTCTGCAACTGCACTAAATTTCTGGTCCACCTTATAAGACTGACCTACTTACACTAGTGGACTGTACCCATTGCTACATCAGTTCACTGATTCCACTGATTCCACTGTGAAAGTCTCCGTCCCCACGCCGTAGGTTGGAGAAGCGTCTCTCTGTGAAGATACTCTAATGCTGCGTATGGCTTGTTCTTTAACTTATCAGTACCGTATACCTTTGAATTAATGGTGATGATGGACATCATTATCATTATCATCATCATTATTATCATCATTTTTTAGTTATCATGTCCTGGAAGGTCTACCTGGAGGGTATTCCGGGGATCAACGCCCCCGCGGCCAGGTCCATGACCAGGCCATGACCAGGCCATGACCATGAGAGGCCGCTGAAAGCATCAGGTCACAGTGCTTCAGAAGTGAGTGAGAATCAGGTTTGATGTACTGAAAAATTAACTTTCGTCACTGGATCAAGCACTTCCCTGAAGGGCACATGTAGTCTCTCATTATTATTATTATTATTATTATTATTATTATTATTATTATTATTATTATTATTATATAATTATTATCATAGTTAACATTATTATTATTATTATTATTATTATTATTATTATTATTATTATTATTATTATTGTTGTTGTTGTTGTTGTTATTATTATTATTATTATTACTTTATAATTATTTTTTATTAACACATAGGCCTCTTCCAGCTAAGGGTAATCCGAAGAAACACTTTCGTCATCATTCAGGCCATCACTGTCTTGCCAGAGACTGCAACATCAACACCCTTCCTCCAGAGGGTAGGTACTGTACTTCCCACCTCCAGGACTCAACTCCGGCTAACCGGTTTCCCTGAATCCTTTCATAAATATTACTTTGTTTACACTCCAACAGCACGTCCAACCTTCAGAATATTTTTCTTCTTTTTATTTTTAAGTAATTTATATAGGACAAGAGGTCACTAGCACATTGCTCGGGGCCTTTAGTCGCCTCTTACGACACTCATGGCTCACGGAGGAAAGATTCTTTTCCGGTTCTCATGGAGATGAAAGGAAATAGATAACAAGAACTTGTTAGAAAAAAAAAGAAATTTCAGATCGGTGTTTATACATGTATGTATATGCAGTGAGACCTAAGTGTAAGTAGAGGCAGCAAGACGAACCAGTTTTTTGCGTGTTCCTGAGACAGAAAGAAAACCAGCGATCCTACCATTGTGTAAAACAATTACAGGTTTCCGCTTCACATGCATTTGGCAGGACGGTAGTACCTCCCTGGGTGGTTGCTGTCTACCAACCTACTACCACAGAACGGTAGTACCTCCCTGGGTGGCTACTGTGTACCAACCTACTACCACAGGACGGTAGTACCTCCCTGGGTGGCTACTGTGTACCAACCTACTACCACAGGACGGTAGTACCTCCCTGGGTGGCTGCTGTCTACCAACCTACTACCACAGGACAGTAGCACCCCCCTGGGGGCTGCTGTTTACCAACCTACTACCACAGGACGATAGTACCTCCCTGAGTGGCTGCTGTCTACCAACTTACTACCACAGGACAGTAGCACCCCCCTGGGGGGCTGCTGTTTACCAATCTACTACCACAGGACGATAGTACCTCCCTGGGTGGCTGCTGTCTACCAACCCAATACCACAGGACGGTAGTGCCTCCCTGGGTGGCTGATGTCTACCAATCTACTACCACAGGACGGTAGTACCTCTACCTCCTTGGGTGGCTGCTGTCTACCATCCTACTACCACAGGACGGTAGTACCCCCTGGGTGACTGCTGTCTACCATCCTACTACCACAGGACAGTAGTACCCCCTGGGTGACTGCTGTCTACCATCCTACTACCACAGGACAGTAGTACCTCCTTGGGTGGCTGCTGTCTACCATCCTACTACCACAGGACGGTAGTACCTCCCTTGGTTGGCTGCTGTCTACCATCCTACTACCACAGGACGGTAGTACCACCCTGGGTGATTGCTGTCTACCACACTACTACCACAGGACGGTAGTACCACCCTGTGTGATTGCTGTCTACCACCTTACTACCACAGGATGGTAGTACCACCCTGGGTGATTGCTGTCTACCAACCTGCTACCAAATTATTATTATTATTATTATTATTATTATTATTATTATTATTATTATTATTATTATTATTATTATTATTATTATTATTATTATTATTACTGGGTTCATATTGAAACTGTAATTTAGGAATCATATAACACAGTAAAATTAGGACAGGTGGAAGTTAACCAGAATTAGTCGGTGGAAATTAAAAATAGAATCACTTGCTTGGATGAAGAGCTTTTTATTAGAATGGTCTCATTACTAGCATGGTCTCATTACTAGCATGG